AAAAAAAAAAAAAAAAAAAAAAAAAAAAAATTTACCACTTTATTCATTTTTAAGTGCAAAATTTAGTGGCATTAAGTACATTCAAAATGTGGTACAAATTAAGGAGAGACATGCAGGGGGTGGGAGTTGGTTTGAATAACCTCTTTCTATAATTTTATTTTATTGCAACCAAAATTTTAACTATTAGACAATATTTTAAAATGCCTTCTTTTTAAAAAATGATATTGATAATTAGGTTACTTATTACTTGGACTGTGGGTTTTTCTTATTAAGCCAAAAATTAAATTTCTTTCTTATCTTCTGTTTGAATCCAATACAAAGAGGAAAATACAGTCTGTTCAAATAAATTTAATTAATCTATATTTTAACCATATACCACTACATGCATACAGTTATTCTTTTTTTGTAGTTTAAAACACATACAAATGTAGAAAAAAAATCCAAACTGAACTTTCAATTTTACTAATAGATATTTCATTTTCAATAAATCAAATACTTTTTAACTGATCCAAATGTACCATTCCCAATAATAATTACAACTGAAGAACCTATAACATGTGCATACTGTTTTAATTTTTAAACTTAATTTTATGAATCACAGTGTTAGGGAGTGCTTTTAAAGATTAAATCCCACATCTATACAGATAAGCTCATGGGGTAAAGTAGAATTCTTAACATATTCCAATGTCTTTTTGAAATCTCTCAGACTAGTAAAGGTGATACCAAAGCTTGTATAGTTTTGAGGTCCCTCTGAAGAAAATAAGACATATACAGAAATTCAACACATATTCCAAATTAAAAAGAAACCACATGCTTACATTTTTTTAACCTGTTCATAACTCTCCCATTGGGTGATACAAGCTGCTCAATGGGACGGTCATAAAAGCATCTGTACTAATAACATTGTCTTATTATTTACTTGTTTCTTCCACATTCCAGATTCTTAAAATTTTTTCTCTAACCATTTAATCCAACTAAAAAGACCTCTAACAGAATCTGACCTTGGACCTATCTTTTCTTTGTGTAATCTATTAGGATTTCTCCTATCTACTGTTCTTCCTACTGATTTAGATTCCTCTTTCACCCATCCATCCATTTCATCCCTTCTCTTCTCTTTCCATATCGAAGACTCACCACAAACAACAAAACAGAAGCTGTAAAGGTTACTTATAAAGGGAGGAAGTATAAATGCAAGATTAAATTCATGTAAATGATGTTTGATTAGATCAGTTGGCACTGTTATAATCAATATTAATTCTCTTCTCACAACACAGTAACAGGGTCCAAACCATTTTAGTTAAATAACAGAAGGGGTGAACAATATCTCTGATAAAATAAAGTCATGAACATATTGCTGGAAGGAAGAATCTAACTAAAAAGATCATTATATTAACCACAATTTCTCCTCACTCAGCACTCAGTGTGTGCCTATGCACGTACACACACACACACACACACACACACACACACACACACTATACATTCACACAGTAGCATAGGAAAATAAGGAAACAAAAGGTCCTGTTATGGCTTGTATCTAGGCATCCACTCCAACCCTCATGCAGTCATAGGTAGGGCGCTTTTGGAGCTAGCTGGGAACTAGGGTGTGTGATACTAGGATTAGGGTGTGTGGTACTAAATTAGTCCCCTGGTTGGTATTAGCATAGTTTTGGGTGTGGTTGAATAGGCTTAACAAAAAGGGAAGCCTCACCCTGGATGTGTATGGCATCCAATAGGCTTATAATCTGGATTAAATATGAAGGGACAAAAAGAAGAGACAGAAAAGGTCACTATTTACTACTTATGGAAATAATCAAACAAGAATTGATAGCATTTGTAAACACATATGCACCAAATATTGGAGCACCTGTCTTCAAAAACAAATGCTGCTGAATATAAAATATTAAATAGACACTAACACAATCATAGTGGGTGACCTTAATACCTATACCACAAAGATATAATCACCTAAACAAAAATCAATAAAGCAACAGGAGAACTGCACCAAGCTCTTGACCCTATGAACTTAATAGATATGTACAGAGTATTCTACCCTTTTTATTCTTCTCTGAAACACATGGAGCTTCCTCCAAAATAGATCACATACTAGTCCACAAAATTTTAAATAAATTTAAAAGAATTGAAATAGCCCATTGTTTACTACCAGATCACTGTGCAATAAAACTAGAAATCAATGGCAGAAAAAGCCACACAAAATTTACAAACAACTGGAAAATTAATAACACACTCCTTAACTCCCAATAGGTCACAAAACAAATAAAGAAAGAAATTAAACAATTTCTGGAAGCAAATCACAATGCCAGTACAACCTCAGAACCTATGGGATCCAATGAAAGCAGTCATTTGAGGGAAGCTTATTGTAATAAAGGCTCATATTAGAAAACAGAGAAGGCCGAAGTAAATAACCTAATAAGGAACCTCATGATGCCTGAGAAAAAACCAGTTTAAACCCAAACTGAAATTAAGGAGGGATATCATAAAGAGAAGAGCAGAAATTAATGAAATTGAAACTTTAAAAAATCAATGGATGCAAAAGCTGGTTCTTAGAATAAATAAAATATGTAAACCCTTAGCCAAATTTAAGGAAAAAAGAGAGAAAAGACTCACATCAAGGCAATTGGAAATTGTGAAAACACAACAGACACTTTGGAAATCCAGAAGATAGTAATTAGCATGAAAAACTATTCCAAAAACTTGGAAAATCTTGAACAAATGGATAATTCCAAGATTCATACAAATTACCAAAACTAAACCAAGTCATAAAAGTTTTGAACAACCCAATAACAAGCAATGAAATTGAGGTAATAATAATAAAAAATCTAACATTAATAATATCCAGGACCCGATGAAAGCACTGCTGAATTCTATACAACATTTAAGGATGTTATATCACCAATACTTCTGAAACTCTTTAATGAAATTTTTAAGAAGGGGGGCGTGCTTCCAAAAAATTTTCTGGAAGCTAGCATCACTCTAATCTCAAAATCAGGCAAAGAACAAACTTCAAATGAACTACATGCCAATCTCCTTAATGAATATGGATGGGAAAAATCCTCAATAAGATATTGGTAAATAAAATGCAAAAAATTATCAAAATGATCATATATCACGCACAAGTAGGTTTCAACCCAGGACTGTACGGATGGTCCAAGATATGCAAATCAATAAATATGATATGTCACATAAACAGAATCAAGAACAAAAACCACATGATCATATCAATAGATGCAAAAAAAGTTTTCAAGAAACTACAATACCTTTTTATGATAAAAACTTTGAAAAAAACTGGGTATAGAAGGACCCTATCTGAATCTGATGAAAGCCATTTATGACAAACCAATGGCCAATACGATATTAAATGGTGAAAAAGTGAGAGCTGTCATGTTTCAGAAACATTGCAAAGATGCTCACTATCAGCACTTCTTTTCCACATAAAGCTCAAAACATTAGCCACAGCAATTGGTCAAACAAAAGAAATAAAATGGATATCCGTGGGAAAGCAAGAAGTCTAAAAACTTTTATTTGTGGATGACATGATACTTTACATAGAAGAACCAAAGATTTCTACCAGTAAACTCTTAGAAATAATAACCAATTTCAGCAATGAAGCAGTATACAAAATCAACACACCAAAATCAATAGCATGCATGGATACCAATAGTGAACTCAATAGGAAAGAAATTGGAACTTTGTTTCCATTTTTTCCTTTTCTCATATTTTTTCTTTTCCCTTATTTCCTTTTCCCTACCTCTCCCACTTCCCCTACTCCTTTATACCTTTTCTTCCTATTTTACATTATCAATTAGACATTTTCATTCTTATTTACACTTTTAGTTATTTACATCAGAGAAAAAAATTCAGTATTTAACACATGTGTCCTATTTATTTCACTTAGGAATATGGCTCCAATATGCATTTATTGAGCCATTAATGTCTCTAGTTTCTCTTTCTTTATGGCTGAGTAATAGTCCATGTTATCAAAAAAAAAAAGACAACAAAACACATCTTTATCCAGTCTCCAGTTGATGGGTAATTGGGCTGTTTCCAAGTTTTAGCTATTGCAAACTGTGCCGCTATAAACATGGGTGCACATATATCATTGTGGTATGTTTCTTTTAATTCTTTTGGGAAGATACCCAGCAGAGGAATAGTTGCATCACTAATGATCCAGGTGCCCATTTAATCTGTGGTGGATTTGGTATCATTAGTGATTCTAAATATTTGCATCTGGAGCAGTACTGGAGTCTTGTTTATTGGAAAAGAGGCTCGGGCCTTCCAGGGGTTTGCAGGAATAACTTTCTTCATTTGGGTGGTCTTTTTCCTCAGACAGTTCAGGTGTAGCTGGCTTTATTCTATAAAGGTGAATCTCTCTGTCACCTTTACTGCAGTGCATTGGCAAGGATCACTGAAAGGGGGACTTACCATTTTTGTGTTAACTATTCTACAAGAATCTCTTCTTTCCAAGTTTGAATGAACACTTGGTCTCCAAGATGGACATTAGGTGGTTCTCCTGGGCCAGGAGCTGGCAGAACTTTGTTCTCATACAGTTGGATAGCCTATTGTACTTGTCCCAGAACAATAAGATATTGTGAGACTCTTGGGGTCTCTGGTCCCACTCCAAATCAAAACAGAGAAAAGGTCCCCCATATAACATTTCAAATGCACTAGTATTTAGCTTGGTTTGCAGCTGTTTTGAATCCCCATAAGGGCTCTTGGGAAGAATCAGAGCCAAGACCTAGCAGTTTCTTGGCAAAATTTTGCCAGTGTTCATTCTAGGGTCTGGTTGAATCTGTCAACCTTTCCAGAGAAGTCCTTGCAGAATGGAAGTGATACTTCATTCTTAAAGCCTTTGCTACCCTTTTGAATTGAAAGTTAAAAGAAGGCCCACCGTCACTCTGAAGGTACTGGGGTAGTACAAACTGGGGCATCATTTTTTTGAGGACCATCTTGATTACCTCTATAGCCTTCTGTAAATGGGGAGATAAAGCCACAATTCAGCTGTAAAAGTATCAATTAGGATGACTATTTATTTAAATTTCTCACATTGTGGCATATGGATAAAGTCTAATTGCCAGTCCTCCTCAGATTCCATCCCTCTCCTCTGTAAAGGTTTTAATAAAGGAGGTAGTCTGGGGTTGCCAGGGTTATTGTAGGCACAGACTGGGCATATTTTTCAGATCTGTTGGGGAGTTGCTGCTAGTCCTTGAGTGAAAATTTGAAAGACCATTTCCCATGTAGCACCTTTTCCATGTGCTTTTTATAACTTTTGACAGTTTCCCTTGTGGAAGGACAATTTTTCTTTCTAAATATCATCAAAACCCTTTTTAAAAAATTTTTTCTTATGGTAGGCCCATTTATCTTCCCAGGAGTTATAGACTGGTTTTAATGGATCCTCAGAAATTGTGAATAAACCTAAGATCTTGAGGGGCTGCAAACCTGTCATTTTGTCACTCTTTTAGCTTTTTGATAGTTCAAAGACAATTTAGACCTGTCTCTTTGGTGTCCCTTGCAATGAATGAGCTTCCTGGGTAAATCTCCTCCTAATAAGGGAGTAGGACACTGTGGGACAATGAAAATCTCATGCTTGAACATGTGGCCTATGACTTGACATGTCTGAGCAAGTGTAAAGAAGCTCTGACTAGGGGTCTCCTCAACCCCAGTTATGGTTATAGATCTAGAGGAGAGTTTTCCAGAGAAGGAAGTTAAAGTAGAATAAGCTATTTTTGTTTATATAAAGAATTAAATTTGTTTACCCATTATTTCCAGGGCCACCAGGGGCTCAACACAGGAGATGGAGATGTCTGTGAACAGGTACATGGTAGCTTTCCATGGGCCCCTTCAGTGCTCTTCAGAGTGGAAGGTGAGAGTTTTGGCTTGTCTAGCCCTTCTTGGGGTGAGGACAGTCAATTCTTCAGGGCCATGAGTCAAGTACATCAGCCATCTGAGACATGGAGCAGAGCCTGGGCAGTGGCTTGGTACAGTCACAAGCCCAGTGTCCAGTTTCCTTGCACTTAAAGCAGGAACTCTTTCCCTGGCTAGCCTTTGGTATTCCCCTGAAGGACTTGTTTGTGCTTAAAACATTGTCAGTTGTGACAATCATAATTTTGGCCTTCCTTTTTTTTTTTTTCTCAGCCCTTCTACTTTTATCCTACTCCAGATACCAATTGTTGAACATAGAAAGTGCTGTGTTAAACAGTTGATGGTAGTGGTCTGGTGTACAGGAAGGAACCAAGACAAATTGGACATCTCACCACGAGGTCAAAACAAGGACCAAAGTTTGAAACCCATTTGCCAACCTATGAGGATGTTCTGACATTGGTCTAACCATTTTTTTCATTGCTGTATATCTGCCACTGGTAAAGGAACCTGGAATCATGTAGTCCCCTCTACTCTTTGTACCTCTCTCAAATTGGAGTGGTGAGTCTCTACTCCATCTATGTTCTGTAGAGCTAAAATCTGTCTGAGGAGCACAGAAAGGGGCTGGGAAATATTGAGTCTCTGTGGTAGGCTAGCCACTGGTAGACTTACTGAGTCACTTAGAAATTATGGGATTGACTTATTGGTGTGAGAATTATAAGAAAAAGGTCTAGGAGACAACCCAGTGTGGTTATTTTCACTAAACAGGTGGAAGAGACTCATATCCCCCTGAGATAGGTGAATGCATCAATTTTCTCTTCCTTGGAGGTCTTTTTAGGTAACATAGTTCTTTGGACATTAAAGAGACAAAGAGTCATAAAAGCCTAAACAAAAACATTTCACAACACTTTACTTATCTTTTGCAAAAAAACAAGATTGAACTAAAGAATAGTAATGTAATCTAGACTGCCAATCTCTGTCTCTCACCATTTCCTGGTTCATACTGGACCCAAACAGTATTGCAATAGAAGCTAAATTGTGAAAGACAACCTGCATGAGGGCTGTAGAGACAGACTAGGCCTGGGGTCCTACAGAAAGATGCAGATCTATTGAATCCCTGGAGTATCCTTTGTGAGATTCAAGTGTACTACCAGATGCCTCTAGTGAAGTGAGCAGCACTGATGCCTTCTTATTTTTGTTTTATCTTAGACCTCTCCATACCCTGTGGCCTACTATAACCCTTTCAGGGTCAAATTGTTCCTAATTTTTAAGGATACAGCCTAAGGGCAAGGTTGCTGGGATCTGCACAGGTTCTCATGGCATCTTGTGGGGATATGGAGAGAGAGAGAGAGAGAGAGAGAGAGAGAGAGACTATGATGTCTGGGCTCTTTCAAAAAGCATCCTCCATAGAAGAGTGCAGACCCACTGAGTCCCTGAATGTCTTCCAGGAGACTCAACTGTACTTCTATCATCTCTGGTGAAGCAACACTGGTGCATTTCCTTAGACCTCTCTGTAAACTGTGACCCACTAAAACTCCTTAAAGACAGGCTTAGAGTCCCCAGAGATCCCGCTTAGCCACTTGCAGAATAGTATCTCTCACATTTGTCCCAATAATAAAAACTTTGATAATTACTTTGTTTTAGGCAATAGAGATAGAAACCTCTTTTTTGGCATTTAAGAAAAAAGAAAAAAGAGAGAAAACCTTAGAAAGTTCTAAGTGCAAGAATATGGTTTGTTAACTATTGGCTCCAGTTCTGCTATTACATACTCACAGCCATTTGATTTGACTTTCACTGGTTGTTCCCTTTCTTCCACTCAGACCCTCAGGAAGATGTTTTTAAATTATTCTTTCTGTTAGAAGAGACAAGAAGGGGATTTAACCTGATTTAGAAGAGAAAAGGAGAGGAGGCCTATGTGTTTCATGAAAGCAGAGTCTTTAGCACTTATTTATAAGGATGAGATTTTCTAATGTCCATGAGATCAGTTGAAAAAGAAAATAGTGGACAAACATGGTGGAACCATGTGACCAGTCCACAGTATGCACCAAAATGGCTGTCAAACATGGAACTGCATGGTTGACCTGCTAGGGGAGGAACCAAGATGGCTGCCAAATATGGTAGAAAGATAGACTGTGAGGGCTTTTTGAGGTCTTAAGAAACCAGGCTCTGAAAAAACAACTCACTAGTGATCCCCAGAGATAAAATGCCATCTAGGGGAAAAGTGCAGATGAGACTTGGCGTACATTAAGGAGTAGGCCATGTCAGGTGGCTACTCAAGCAGGAAAATAAGTTACCAATAACTAATTTTTTTACTAGTGAGAATGATGAACAAAGTATTGGGAAAAACAAAATGTGGAGATGAATGAGCATACTAAATTTTAACATGGAACCTGCATAGTTTGCAAAAGACCTGTTGGGCCCAAGACACCCTAAAATTTTTCTGCAGCTTATCCAAGAGCAGATGCCCTGGCAGACCCAACTAACTTGCACTCAAACTGGTTGACTGAAACAGGGTGGGAAAACACAAAGGACACAATACCCCCCCACACACTGATGGGACACACCAGAGAACTGGAAATGTCCTGAGTTTCCCAGCTTCCATTAATTTTCCCAACCTCTAGTTCCCTGACTTTCCCTGATAATTAATATCAGGAAAAAAAAAAGTTAAAGGATTTGAGCTTTCTGACAGATGAAAGCCTGAGTGGGAGAGAAGAGACAAGAAGGACATTGAAGATCTCCTAGAGAGAAGGAAGGAAAGAGCTACTGTGGGCCTTTCTTGGCTTGAATCTATAGACTTCAGAGAGAGAGAAACAAAGACCCCAAAGGGCTTTATCTCTTGGCTGGCTTGTGAAATTTTATTGGGGTTCTGAGGTGCTGTGGGCTCCTTCTAGAGCTTCTTTCCAGGTACTTGTTATCCTGAACAACGACTCGGACAAGACAAGTACAAATGGTAGTGAGGTTTTATATTTAATAGAGGTAGAAAATGAATATGCTCTGCAGAGTGAGAACATGCCACTAGTACAAAGGTAGCACAGTGGCGGTGAAGTTAATGGTGGCCATCTTTGTATCCCCCATTGTGATGTTGGATCTAGACCAGTCTATCAAAACTTGCTTGATTTTGCAGCAGAGGAACTAAAAATAGTACTTTCTGGGTGGTCCCAGGTGCAGGGCCTGGGATCTGTGTTTTTCTGCACATGTGTCCTGGATCTCTGTGATTGACAGGTCATGCGCTCTTGCCCAGCTAGCTGGCTATGCCCTAATCTCCTGCCTCGATACTGAGATAATTGTAGTTTTTAAATAATGCAAGTGCAATACAAAAGCAATTTATGTAACTGGAATTATAATACAAAACTTTAAGGAGATACCTAATAGGAACTGCCTAATACTTAATTTTTCCAAACATTTAAAACTTAACAAAAACTATATAGAACACAAGAAATTATTCTAGCAAAAGTAAAATTTATCTTTTTAAACTTTTGTTGTAAATTGTCTGAGAACTTTTCAATTTTTTAAAGCCTTGCTGTTTCTGACATAAAGATTCTGACATTATCCCTGTGCATTACATTTGAATATTTTCTTATATGTGTGTCTTAGAACAACTATCTCTAATTAGAAATGTTTTACTCCCCAAAAATGTTCATATCATTAATTTACAATGAAAACATTACTTTTAGCTTATTACAAAATTATGCCACACATAGGTTATTGGTAGTTTTAAAAATCATGTCATTTGTCATATTTTGCCCCAAACTCTGTCACAAACAAGCCTTTTCAGCATCTCTTAAAACTATTAGCATTAGACCATAAAAACAAACCCATTAATAGATCAGGCCATTCAGCGCTATTAACTCTTAACAGCAAAATATTTTGTCTCTAAAAAAAAAATTTGTAACTAGACTATTAATTGAGTTGTCCTTATATAAGTTGTTAGCTTAGGATACCTTAAAATAATGAACAAATACAACCCTATATTATTTTGGGACTTATTATTTAAAGGTCATTTTAAAATTTGTTGACCCAGAGTTTAACAAAAGTCTCCATTTTCAGACACTTGTCCTTCTAGTACAGTTACTCTGAAAGTTATTAAAGGATCAGATATATTGTGATCTTATATTAGTGTTACACACATGTCTATGAAATACATTTAATAGACTCATGCATTATTATTTATAAATTTTAAAAAGCAAAAAACACATGAACTTATATTTAGTAAATGTCTTCAGTATTTTAAATTAATTTTAAATAACTCAGATGCTTTGCTTACATATCCACTTAATTTAATTTTTAACAGTAACTCCTGCATTGTCCCCCATATGCGAAATATCTACAAAACACAATTTAACGTCCCAAACCATTTTCTGCTGAGGAAAAAAAACACCTCTCAAAAATTAGAGCTAAGACCTAGAAATTGCATCTAGAAGTGCTAGAACAGAACACCATTTAAAAATCACTGAAGTCTTTTCTAGGACTTTGTTTTTTGAGACAGAGTCTTACTATGTAATTGAGACTGACCTGGAACTCACTAGGTAGCCTTAGGCTGGTCTTGAACTCACAGCGATCCTCCTCCCTCAGCCTCCCAAGTGCTTGGATTACAGGTGTGTGCCACGACGCCCGGCTTTTCTAGGACTTTTAAAATTGAATATGTATATTGACTCCAATGAATTACTCTCAAACCAAATTCTCATACTAGCAAAGTCAAACTGTCCTGAGTAATAAGAATGCCCATATGTGAATACACTGTGAAGACTCTGAAAGAAACTTTTATTGATTATGGCATTTAAAATGGTAAAACACAGAAGGTCTACAAAGATCTATGAGCAATGTGGGAAATACTCATCTAACATCAGCACAACTTGACTTCATAATTCCAGAGTTGGGGAAGTTTTTATCCATGTAAACATGGACCCAGCTCTTTCAGAAAATTAAGAAGCATGGCTGAACAATTTTCACTCAGACCCAAGTTAACCCATAAGACATATCTTATCTATTTCTTCTCATGGGCTTAATAAGGAAGCGCTCAAATATACTTTTATTAGATAATGTGTAATAAAGAAATATTTCAATTATTCCCACTTTGCTATGTAATAAACCATAGAATATGCCTTTTATCCAACTTGATTTCAGCTGAGCACAATATCCATCTAGTAAATGTCAGTCTCAGTAAACCACTGTAGTTCAAAAAGGCCGTCCTGAACACAACCCTGAAACGAAAGAAGTCACGATATAGATCCCAAGACCTTGATATGGAGCAGGCACACCTAGGCCCCTATCTGGTACACATTAAAAGCAAGATTTGCATTTCTTTATTTCTTGGGACATTCAAGGATCTCAAAGCTGTTTTTGCTATAAACCATAACACCTTTAACCAATGTCTAGCAAAATACTGCTTCTTAAGGCACCTTTTACTAATGCTAGCAGCAGTTTTTACACTGATTATTGTTATGTGATGTTTTTGAAAAGCTAAACAATTTAAACTTTTAAATGGAAGAATGCCCAGTCACTGCTGTATTGATACGTGTGCCACATTTTCTCTATTTTCAACCGATGAATCCCAAGAATCTTTAAGGTCATAATGAAAAAAGCAATAATACAATAGGGCAAGCCTTTGCCTCACTCTAATGTTTTTATTTTTTTCATAAAATGTTTTGTTTCATAATTATAGCCTTTTGTGCTGCATAGGCACTCCTGTCCAACATATCAAATGTTTAGTAACTATCTGAGCTGAAGGATGTTCCTACCAAAACTTTCAAATTCTGTGAGCATACTCACCCATTTGGTGTTTCAAGAGGGTGTGTTAACTCCACCCATCCCTTCTCTGAGCATTTCCAGTGTGTGTTTTCAGAATGTTCTGTTAACTCAGTCCCTCTCCTTCTTTAAGCATGCTCATCCAGTGTGTTTCATGAATGTTCTCTTAGCTCTCCCCCAATTCTGTGAGCATGCTAACACAGTGTGTGCTTCAAGAATGCTCTGCTAACTTCACCCATCCCTCTCTGTGAGTATGCCCAGTGTGTGTTTCAAGAATGTTCTGTCAACTCCACCTCTCTACTTCTGTGAGGGTGCTTGACTGGTACATGTTTCAAGAATGTTCTGTAACTCCACCCTCCCCCTTCTGTGAGCTTGTTTGCTCAGCATATGGGCCCACCCCCCATATCATGGAACTTTATATAAGCTGACTCCTAATGCATCTTGGTACTCATGATTTGGAACGCCTCTGAGCCAGCCAGCAAGATAGGTTTTACTCTGAGTAACTTTTGCATTTTCCAGTTTTCAAATTGCTTTAGCTATAGGATTTGAACTGTTGTAGCACTTCGCTGTACCATTGAGCTCTTCCATTTTGCCACAACAATAATAAACTCAAACATTTTAATTAAATATCCTTTATGCTCATCAGTCTTTCTCGTAACCTCTTTTAAAAGTCAAACATCTAAAATATAATTTTGATTGGCTAACACAAGTTAAAAGCATGGTAATAGTTTTGAGAACACCTTTGTTATAGCTCTGAAAACATCTCCTTAAGTCATGTAAACAAAAGGCATTTGGATGTGCTTTCTTAATTACTGAGTCCTCTTATTTTTACATTTATCTGCTACCCATTTAAACAATATACACGTGTAGGATTTCTGGTTGTTACTAAGATGAGAAATATACCTCTCAAAGGAGATTGCTTGCCTAATTAAGCAAAGTTTAAATTTCCAGAGGCTTTTTCCCCCCTCTGTCTCATCGTATAGGTCTTTATAAAAAAACTCTTGCCCCAGGTTTTAAGACATTTATCTATTATGGTAAAATTTTGACATAGCTGCTGAGAAGTTTACACATCTTATCCTGGTTCAATTGTCCAACACCTCTGGAATGGGATAAAAAGAAGCCAGTTTAAAACAAAATGCTTCCCACTCCAAAAAAAAAACAAAAAACAAAACAACAAAAACAAAAACAAAAAGACAAGCTCTCTGCAGCAAAATTTTTCCAATTTTACTAGTTAAGAATGGAAAGAGCAGGAGATGACAATCAGTTTTCAGCAAACATAGGTTTTAGCAAATATATTTAAGCACAATGAGTTTAGAATGGACAGGGACTGTTAACCAAAATGAGAGGAAATTGAAACCCCAATAAGGAACTCACCAACACTTACCCAAGTAGCTGCACGGTTGGTGGACACAGATGACTCTTGCTTATACTGCCAATAATCAAACAAAGACAAGAAAAGCACCCCATGGATACTATCCTACCCAAAGTCACCCCAGAAAATCTTCTAGAAGACAGTTGCATGAAATCAGATCATGCTTTCAGTTATACAGCCCAGTTATACAGGCCTGTCACATGTAATAAAATCACTTTTTTAAAAAATCACAGGTCACTGAAACTTTTCTAGCGAACTATGAGGTAGCAGTTTCCATACCCTGGAAAATCACAACAGAACTCTCCAGGCAAACTACAGTGTCTCTAGCCTCTTACAGTTTCTCAATTCAAATCTTCCTGTAAGATGAACTAACAGTTTACGAAACTTGAACTCGTTAGCTTACAAAACATAGAATGGTTTAAAGCTCTAAATGGTGCACATAAAGTACTGAACACACGTAAAGGAAAAATGAGGCCAGGTGTCTCTGTAGGATGGATTTAAACCTCTGTGTACTGCCTTTAAGGGGGTCCCAAAGTACTGCCCCAAATCGGGAAGCTCGCTGGCCAAACAGTGCTCCATCAGGACTTACAGGGGGAGATCTTCTCTACCTTACTTTCAAATGGTGAAGAATATGCAGATCAGGCGGCTACATCACAGAATCCTGGTTAAACATGTATACAGCTTCTAGAAGTTACTGAGACCCCATTGTCCATCCTAGAATAAAGATGGTCATAAGGACAGACATATACAAGAAACTAAAGCAAACTAAAATAAATGAATACTTCAAACCAACTGGAATTTTTTTCTACCTTTGAATCTCTTTTCACATCAGTCAGTATCACAAAATGACCTTCAGTAAGTTCAAATGGTGAAGGTGCTTATTTTACCCCAAATGGCACTGCCCAGTCCCTGACAGTCAGTGACCCCAAACAACCTGTTATAGATCTAAATGGCCCTAAATGGTGAAAATACTTACTTTACTCAAGTGGCACTCTTGAGGGACCTAAGGAAAGGTCCAGATGGTCAAGAAAGTAGTAGATCTGTGGAATGCCCTTTCAGGAGAAAATCAGGCCAAGCCGGTTGACTCTGAACAACCATTTCCCATTTACCAAAAAAAGCATTTATAGGCATTTGATGGCATCGACATGAAAGGAAAACTCGCAGGTGCAAAAGTGTCTGTGGCAGCTGCTGGAATGTCCCTGGAATCCTGACCATGGGTTTGTCACCTGATAGGGTTCAAGGGGGTACTTAACTGGGATAAGTAATATAACTCACCCAACTGTGAATAGGACTGAAAGCTTTCTGACACCCTTCAAAGAAAATATTTTCTAGCACACCTAAGTAAGAGGCTGTGGAAGGGTTTAGTAGGCAGAAATTTTAGTACAGATTCAGAGAAATAGAGTATAGTCCTCTAAAAGAGAGGAGGTGCTTTATCTCCTGGAACTGGGAATACTTATGCTTATCTTGGTGTGGAATCCCCGGGAAAAGTTGGTTCAATTCCCATAAAGGTAATGGCCCATATTACAGGTATGAGCTCAGTTTCTTTCTTTTTTATGATGAATAATTTAAACATACTTTGAATTCTATCTGTTCCTTTATCTTAGGATCAGGTTCCTGATTTTTTTCCAATTAAAGTGATTTATGGACTTTCTAGAGATCTATCTCCCTATTTTATATTATCTATCTTTTATTTTCCTCTTTATTTGTATTTTGGGTTTCTCATTTTTAAAAACCCATGCAATATTTAAGTTTTTGTGTCTGATTTATTTCACTTAACATTATGATTTCTGGTGCATCCATTTTCCTACAAATGACTCATTTATTCTTTTTATTAACACAGTAGTACTGCATTATGTATATATGCCACATTTTTTCATTCATTCATTTGTTGCTGAATGTACAGGCTCTTTCCATTATTTAGATACTATGAATTGTGGTGGTGTTATAAACATGTGTATACATATATCACTATAATATGATCTCTTTAATTCTTTTGGGAAGATATCTAGCAGGAGAATAGCTAGGTCTGATGGACTTTTTAATTTCAGTTGTTTGAGGAATCGCCATACTAATTTAGTGTTAAGTTTTATACATGCAAAGTATCTAATAAGTGCTCTCTTTTATGGCAGATGGACCAAACATAGAATATCAAAACAATTACATTAAATCAAAGTGGCTTTCTAGATGTATTGGCCATGTAAATTATAATAATCCTTTTCTTGGTTTTAGATTTATAACTATAGACTAGTCAGAATTTTTCTTAGGGGTTACCAATTAGTGTCCCATTTTAGTATCAATCATAACAGTGTTTTTAAATATCCTGAGATACTCTGGGCATCTTTTTCCTGTTAACACTATAAACTTATAACCAGTAAGAGTCAGAAGGAGGGAAGAGAGAGGAGCTACAGATTGCTAGATGGGATCTTTGTTCACTATTCCTGCTAATAGTTTGAGACCTTTTATGCTTGAACTTAGATTTAGAGAAAAAAAATAACCATTTAAAATCCTCAATCTTAAATTGGTTTCAAATTCATAAAATATAACATAAAGGTGATGTTTTGGGGACAGAAACAAAGTTACCCATAATCATCTAAGATGTCCTACATACCTTTAAGGTCTCCCTTGTGTACTTTGGGAAAGAGAGAAAAAGGGAAGAAAAAGACGATCCTATTTAGGTTGCCAAAGTCAGGCTATATGAACAGCCCACCTCATCCCAGGGCCACCCTGCATGCACAGCCTGCCTCAAATCAAAGTCAGGCTGCATATCACCTCAGCTGGGTCACACTGCATGATCTGCCCCCCACCCCAACCAAGGTCAGGCTTTATGCACAGCTCACCCAATCCCAGGTTGAGGCCAAGTGTGCAGTCCATCCCATTTTCTACTCATTCATAGATCAGAAAGGCAGGAAAAGGAAATCATCATATACAATAGCTGGGTTTTAATAGAAAAAAGAATTATTTCAGGGGCTGGGGATTTAACTCGGTGGTTCCACTGCTTGCCTTGCAAGCACAAGGTCCTGAGTTCGACCCCCTGTACCAAAAAAAAAAAAAAAAAAAAAAAAAAAA